TATATATATATATATATATATATATATATGTTGTTGTGCATACACCCCATCGCTTAGCAGAAACTAGAGCAGGTTTCGGCTAGCAATTAAGGGTTTGTAACCTCTTTCTCTGAGCATTCCTAAATAACGCAGACGCTCCCCAGAGAAGGCGCACTAAAACATACACACACACAAACCCTAAACCCTAAACCCTAAACCCTAAACCCTAAACCCTAAACCCTAAACCGTAAGTAAGACCTTAAAAAAGCAAAAAGAAGCCCTAAACCCTTAGAATGCAAACCATAAACACTACAACTCAAACATATTAACAGCAAACCCTAAACCCTAAACCCGTAAGCAACAAACTACAAAACCTAAACCCTAATTCTCTGAGCCGGAACCCCTAAACCCTAAACCCTAAACCCTAAGCCCAAACCCCGTTGGATACTTCGAGTATATTAATTAATTAATTAACCAATTGATTAATTAATTAATTAAACAAAAATATAAACAGAAAATAAACAAAATTAAATTTATTTTTAATTTATTTATTTTGATGCCTTCACCTCTACGGAGGCGCCGTTGGCGATGAACACCGCCGGGCAGACTTCACCCCGAATCCCTAAAAAATAAATAAATAAATAAACAAATAAAATAAATAAATAAATAAATAAATAAATAAATAAAATAAAATAAAATAAATAAATAAATAAACAAAATAGATAGATAGGTAAATAGATAAATAGTTAATACAGCGAAAAAATTAATAATTGAATAAATGAAGCAAAGTAAATATATGTAATGAAGTAAATAAATAAAATAAACGAATAAACTAAGTAATTAATAAATAATAAAATGAGTAAATAAACATTTTAATGTCTCTCTATAAAGCCTGTTTTGATTAATTAATTAATTAATTTATTTATTTATATTTAATTAATCACCAGAGAGAGTAAATGCAGACAAACAAATGCCGTTTAGAAAAAAAGATAAACGTGATGGGGTGTCTGACAAATCCAACGCGCAGCTCTGCAAACAAAACGCAAAAATAAATTAATTAAATTAATATAAATAAATATTAATATAAATAAATATTAATATAAATAAATATTAATATAAATAAATATTAATATAAATAAGTAGATAAATAAATAAATATAAATCTAAATATAAATAAAAAAGGTAAAAGGGTAAATAAATAAAAAATAAATAAATATAAATATAAATATAAGCTGATATAAATATAAATATAAGTATAATTCAGTAAATATCAATAAATAAATATAAAAATTTACGATTAAATAAATTAATACAACAAAATAAATAAATAAATACAAGTATAAACAACAACAAATAAATAAATAAAACAAAACACAAAAATAAACATAAAGATGTATTTAGTAATAAATAAATAAAAATATTAAAGTAATAATAAATAAACAAAAATAAATAGACACAACGAAAAAAGAAATAAACCGAAGGAGACATTTAATTATAAACAACAATAAACAAATAAAATAATAATATAAACATATATATATATATATATGTATGTATATAATCTGCGATATATAAACAACACACAAAACAAACAAAAGAAATAAATGAAAATAAAAATCAAAAGCAACACGAGACATTTAACTGAAAAAGAAAAACAGCAGAACCCAGCCAAGAACAAGCCCTAAACCCTAAACCCTAAAACCCTAAACCCTAAACCCTAAACCCTAAACCCTAAAATAAATATAAACCCTCCTCACTATGACATCCCCTGCTTCGATTGCTGTGCCCTCCGCATCCCCCAAAGTCGCCATCCAACTGCACACAAACCCTAAACCCTAAACCCTAAAACCTAAACCCTAAAACCCAAACCCTAAACCCTAAAACCTGAACTCTAAACCCTAAAAAGCCCTAAACTCTAAACCCCTAATCCCTATACCCTAAAACAAATATAAACCCTCCTCAGTAAACCCTAAACCCTAAACCCTAAACCCTAAACCCTAAACCCTACGCTCGTTGTTTATTTTGTAGAATTGAATAAGTAGAAAATTCTTCATGAAGAGGATAACAACAAACCCCTACGGAGATGCGGCCCGCCGCTAACACCAAAACCTCTGTAAATAAAAACATAAAATTAAATTAATTAAATTAATTAAATTAAATTAAATTAATTATATTAAGTTGAATTAAATTATTAGAAGCAGAAAGTAAAGACAAGGAAACAAACAAATACAAACAGAAAACCCATGCAGATCGTCAGCACGTAACGATATTCTGCTGCTGCTGCTGCACTCTCTGCTGCTGCTGCTGCTGCTGCTGCACTGTCTGCTGCTGCTGCTGCTGCACTATCTGCTGCTACTGTTGCACAATATAAAAGAACAGACAAATGAAGAAGAATAAACAAATAAGACATCGAAGACAGAAACGAATAAACGAGGAAACAATAAATAAATAGATAAATAAACAAATAAATAAATAAATAAATAAATAAATAAATAAATAAATAAATAAATAAATAAATAAATAAAAATAAACAAACCAAATAAACATTTATCTTGTTCTATTGATGTTGCAGCAACAGCAATTCCTTCGCCCTCTAAAATAAATTTATTTTTTATTGACAGACTCCGCGACTCTGTCCTGCGGTGTACGTACACCCCACCAAATTAAATATAATTAATTAGCAGCAGCAGCAGCAGCCTTGCTGCTGCTTCTGATGCTGATGCTGCTGCTGATGCTACTCTCCCATGTACTCCAGCAGCAGCAACAGCAGCAGCAGCAACAACAGCAGCAGAAGCAGCAACAACACCAACGGCAAGAGCTAAAACAGCAGCAGCAAGAGTCAAAACAGCAACAACAGCAGCAACAAGAACAACTGCAGCAACAACAGCAGCGAAAGCATCAACAGCAACAGTAGCAGAAGCAGCAGCAGCAACAGCAGTTTGTTCTGACTGCATGCAGATGCCGTCTGTTTGTCTGCGACCACTGCTGCGAATATCTTGAAGAGATACACTGCCTTCCTCCATATTTGCTGCTGCTGCTGCTGCACTATCTGCTGCTGCTGCTGCTGCTGCACCACTAGCCCCCCTTCTTCGTAAGCAGCACTGACGCAGCCCTGGGATGTGTCTTGCTGCTGTTCCTGCTGCAGCAGCAGCCGTCAGCAGCACAGCTACCACGCATTGCAGCATTGAGTGCAGCCTGGGGCCCTCTGCAACGGCAGCATAACCATTCCTAGATCCCTTCATTTTGCTGCTGCTGCTGTTGCTGCTTCTGTTGCTGTTGCTGCTGCTGTTGAGGCGGTTCTGCAGCTTCTGCTGCAGCTGCTCCAGTGCAGCTGTTGTTGCTGATGTGGATGCTGCTGCTGTTGCTGCAGTGCTGCTGATCCTGTTGTTTGTGGTACTGATGGAGTCTCTGCTGCTGTTGCTGCTGCTGCTGCTGCTGCTGCTGCTGCCGCTGGGGTTTCTGCTGTTTGCTGCTGCAGGCAGGAGATAAGCGTCTGGTTTCTGTGCGTTGTTGTGAAGCCGGTATAAATAATTAAATTAAAAGAATTTATTTTTTTAATTTAACTGCAAAGAAAGTAATAATAAAAGAAGAAATAAAGAGAAGCAGCCACAGAAGCCAGCCAGGTGTATACGCAGCTAAAGACAGAAGAGAGACATAATAAAAGAAAGACAACAATAAAACAAATTAATAAAAAGAAAGAAGTCAAAGAAAAAGAAGCTTCACTTCAGTGTGTACCTCAAATAAGCAGCAGCAGCAGCAGCAGCAACAGCAGCAGCAGCAGCAGCAGCAACAGCTGTCGGCTGCCTACGAGTGCCTTCTCTTTGATGTTTGTTTTTCTTCTCAGAATTATAATTATTATTTTATTTTATTTAAATTTAATTCTTTGTGCTGTTAAATTATTTATTTTTTGCTGTTTACAAAGTCGGCTTTGCTCGTTTTCTGCTGTTCCTGCTGCTTCTGCTGCTGCTGCTGTTTCTGCTGCTACAGCAACAGCAACAGCAGCAGCAGCAGCAGCGGCAGTGGGGCCCCCCGGCGAGCCAGCAGCAGTAAAACTTCTCTCGCTCTAGTTGTGCCTACCAAAGTAAATATTGTTTTAAATTTAATTTATTTATATAATCACACAGAGCCTTAAAGAGCTGCCTATACACCCGAAGCCCCGTCAGTCTGCTGCTACAAATATTTCTTGTTGCTTCTACTGCTGCTGTTGCTGCTGAAGCTGCAGCAGTCATCATTGCACTTAGCTCCGCCGCTGTCGCTCCAGCTGCTGGAGAATAACCTGTTGCTGCTGTTGTTGCTGTTGCTGCTGCGTGTGCAGCAGCAACAGCAGCAGCAGCAGCAGCAACAGGTCAGCAGCGTGACCAGCAGCAGCAGCAGCAAAAACCAGCAACAACAGCTAACCCCCCAGGAGCAACAGCAGCAGCAGCACCACCACCACTAACAGCATCAGCAGCAACAGCAACAGCTAACCCCCCAGGAGCAACAGCAGCAGCAGCACCACCACTAACTCCACAGCAGCAGCATCAGCAGCAGCAGCAGCAGCAGCAGCAGGATGGCTGTGCCGAAGGGTAAGCGCAGCGCTTCATTATGCAGGAAGCGTCAGCACATTATTTTTTGTGATCAGCTCGACAGCAATTATAAAAGAAGAAGAGAATGGTTCTATCGCAGCAGCAGCAGCATCTCTTCTTTGCTGCCTCTGGCGAATCTAAAGGAACGAAATAAACAAATGCTGCAGCAGCAAAAGCAGCTCAACTCAGTCGCACAACCGTTCAGATTCCCTGGCTTCTGGCCTGGAAGGTACGCACAAGCTGCTGCTGCTGCTGCTGTTGCTGCTGCTGCTGCTGCTGCTGTTCTTGCTGCTGCTGCTGTTGCTGCTGCTGTTGATGCTGCTGCTGTTCTTGCTGCTGCTGTTCTTGCTGCTGCTGCTGCTGTTCATGCTGCTGCTGTTGCTGCTGCTGTTGTTGTTACTGCTGCTGTTGTGCTGCTGGCGCTGCTGCTGCTGCTGCTGTTCACCTTTTGCATGCGAAAGTAAAGCAGTAGCAGCAGCACAGCAGCAGCAGCAAATGTTTGGTTGTGTTTGCTGCTTCAGGTTTGTACTTGAAAAGGCTTTAAAGCTGCTGAAGAAGTAACAGCTACTGCTGCAACATGAACGAAAACAGCAGCAGCAGTGGCAGCACGGTTTGCTGCGGCCGCTGCAGCAAGAGCAGCAGCGGCAGGAGCAGCAGCAACAGCAGCAGCAGCAGCAGCAATAGAAACCGCTTTTTGTGCGGAGGGGTAATTTTTTTGTCTGAATAACATATGGTGGCTTATGCTTGAGGTTTTAGTGTTTAGGGTTTAGTGTTTAGGGTTAGGGTTTAGGCTTTAGGCTTTAGGGTTTAGGGTTTATGGTTTAGGGTTTTAGTGTTTAGGGTTTAGGATTTAGGGTTTAGGGTTTCGTATGGATCAGTAAAGGGCCTTAAATGCAGCCTTCTGCTGTTCTGTTGGTAGCAGCAGCAGCAGCAAATGCAGCGGCAACCGCGGCACCTTCCTGCTGCTGCTGCTGCTGCTGCTGTTTGTGCTGCTGTTGCTGCGGCAGCAGCAGCAGCAGCAGGTGTTTGCTTCTGCATGCATAGCAAAGGCTGCTGCTGCCTGCTGCAGCAGCGCAGCATTCGCCACCCCGTTTCTGTTGAGAAGCAGCGTTGCTGCTGCAGCAGCAGAGCCATCAGCAGCAGCAGCAGCAGCAGCAGCACCCGAAGGCAGCACCAGAGATCGCCGGAGCAGCAGCTTTGCTTGCAATGAAGTGGGTATACACTCCACATGATGTCTTGCTGCAGCAACAGCAGCAGGATCTGATGCAGCAGCAGCAGACAGCAGCTCTGCAACAGGAGGTAAGCATAATGAGCCCAGTAGAAAGACAAGAGGAGGAGGGCCCCCTCTGCTGCTGCAGCAGAGTTTGCTGTTGCTGCTGCTGCTGTTGCTGCTGCTGCTGCTGCTATTCCTGTTGCGCGCATTTTTGCTGCTGGAAACGCTCCTCCTGTACTTGCTGCTGCTACTGCTGCTGCAGCTGCTGCTTCTGTTGCTGCTGCTGCAGTAACAGCAGCAGCTGCTGCTGCAGCAGCAGCAAGAGTGTTTATGTGCAACAATGCGGGGGTAGAAAGTATTAACAGCCAGCAGCTGCAGCAAGCGAGCGAGAAGCAGAGGAGACACAGCAGCAAGAGGCATGGAGTAGAGAGACAGCTGCAGCAGCAAGAAACTGTAATCCTTACACCGCTGATACACCTGCTGCTGCCGCTGCTGCTGCTGCTGCTGCTGTTGCTGTTGCTGTTGCTGTTGCTGTTGCTGCTGCTGCTGCAGCAGCAGAGGAGGGCAAGCAGGATGTGCTGTTAGGGCCTCAACAGCTACAGGACACAGTAAGAATTGCATTTCTTGCTGCTGCTGCTGCTGCTGCTGCTGCTGCAGCAAGCGCTTGGCAATAGCAGCAGCAGATCTTTCAGCAATTGCCCATAGATTAGAAAGAACAGCAAACGCTGAGGGATGCCGCAGCAAATCAAAGTGCAGCAGCTTCAGCAGCTTCGTCTCTTCCGCTAGCAAACCCCCTGCTGTCAGCACCACCTCCACTGGCTGCACTGCAGCACGAGCCCTTGCTGCTGTTGCTGCTGCTGCTGTTGCTGCTGTTGTTGCTGCTGTTGTTCCTCCTGCTGTTGTTGCTGCTGCTGCTGATGGCGGGGTTGCTGCAGGAAGCATCTCGCTGCTATAGGAAGTGCAGCACCCAAACAGCTGCAGCAAATCTCCATGCTGCTGCTGCTGCTGCTGCTGCTGCAGTTGTTCGTCTTTGATCGCGTTCTCAGGTTCTAGGCTGTTGCTGAGTTTTTGTATTGCGCTGCTGCTGCTGCTGCTGCTGCCGCTGCTGCTGCGGGGGGAAGCATGTACTACCTCTGCAACGGCTGCTGCTGCTGCTTCCGCTGCAGCAGCGCGTTGTTTGTTGAACGCATTTGCTGCTGCTGCTGCTGCTGCTGCTGCTGCAGCAGACTCTGCGTATGCTGCAGTATTGTTTGTCTTATAATACTCTTGACTCCTTTCTATGAAGACATCTGCTATCTTTCCAGCAGCAACAGTGCAGCAGCAAATCCGCTGCAGCACAGACTTAGGACAAACTGCTGCTGCTGCAAGGTGCAGCAGCAGTAGCTCCAACGTCTCTTGCTGCTGCTGCTGTTGCTGCTGCTGCTGCTGCTGCGCTGCTGCTGCTGCTGCTACCGGCTGGTGACGCAGCCAACAACCGGCGTCTGTAGATTGAGGTCTTCTCACTTCGGGAGTTAGTTGCTGCTGCTGCTGCTGCTGCCTCTGCTGCTGCTGCTTTTGCTGCTGCTGCTTCTGCTGCTGCTGCTGCTGCTGTTGACGGCAACAGCAGGCGCCAAAGTCGCTGTTGCTGTTGTTGCTGCTGCTGCTGCTGGAACCCGTTGGGTGAAGGGGTGTGATCCATGCTGCTGCTGTTGTTGCTGCTGCAGTTGCTGTTGCTGCTGCAGGTGCTTCTGCCTGGGGCAGCACATGGAATCTGCTGCTTGCAGCAGCAGCAGCGGTATCTCTGTCGCTGTTTTTGTTATTGTTGTTGGTGTTGTTGCTGCTGCTGCTGCTGCTGCGGTGCTTCAGCTTGCTGGCTGCTGTTCCTGCTGCTGCTGCAGTAGCACGCCTGCTCTGCAGAGGGAGAGGCAGCACTGGCATGGTGCGTCGCTGCTGCTGCTGCTGTTGCTGCTGCTGCTGTTGCTGTTGGTGCTGCTGCTGTTGCTGCTGCAGCTGCTGCTGCAAGTTCCTTGCCTCCCGCTTGTGCTGCAGCAGATGCATGGCCGTCTCCTCCAGCAGCTGCTGCTGGAGGACGAGGTGTATATACACAGCAGCAAGGTGCAGCGTCTGCTGCTGCAGCTCAAACTCATGCTGCAGCGCCACCAACGTATCCATCTGCAGCAGCAGCAGCAGCAGCATGAACAACAACAGCAGCAGCTGCAGCAGCAGCAGTATTTTGAATCAGACTACGGCAGCAAGAAAGGTTGACCAAAGGGCTGAACCAGCAGCAACAGCAGCAGCAAAAAAAGCAGCAGTACCAGCAACAACAGCAGCAGCGCCAGCAACGAGAAACTGCAGCAACAGCAGCAAGCAGCAGCAACAGCAGCAGCAGCAACAGCAGCAGCAGCAACAGCAGCAGCAGCAACAGCAGCAACTGACGGATATTTCAAAAAAAGGCAGGAGGAGTCCTTTTGCTTCCTCCCACAAGACGTTGCACTGTGCTTCCTGCTGCTGCTGCTGCTGCTGCTGCTGCTGCTGCTGC